TGACTTGGCAGGAGGGGGCCTGGGGCAATTTTAAATGAAAAAGGCAACTCGGCCCCGGAGCCCTGCCACGGGCCCTGCACACACAGGCCTGTCCAGGTCTCTCGCCTTTGAGAAGTGGCCCGGCTTCCCGTGAGGTCCCCAGAGGCGCTGCAATGCCTGCCCTCATTTGCATATTAATAATGACGCCAATCAAAGCAGGCAACACGGGGTCGTCCCTCAGGAGCAGCCTCCCAGATACCTACCAGCATCTTCTGCAGCTGCTCAACTGAGTGGTTGCTCGCACTTTGCCCATTGATTTCTATGATCTCATCGCCCACGTGAAGGGAGCCTGCCAGCAATGGGAGAAAACCCATGAAATGCACAAGCAGGCAAAATACAACCCCCAGAGTCCCGGAGCATGACCCCGCAGCCGGCTCCCAGGCCTCTAAGAACCCTCCGGCCGAATGGCTTTTGCACCCCCAATGCATGGATCTCTTGCCACTTGACATCCAGATTGCTCCAGTTTCCAGCAGGGAGTCAGCGTGTCAGTGCGCGTGCATGCACATAAGCACGTGAAACACACACACGAGGGGAACAGAGCTTCCTTGCCTCCAAACACGCCTCAGTCTGGGTCTTACCATTTCTCAAAACTGAAAGCCCTTCCTACAGCCGCCGACCTGGCATCATTCTTAGCTTGGCTGGCAGGGAAACAGCCTACTGTGGCGGTATCCCCAGCGTTAGCCAGGATGGGGCTTACAGCGGAACGGTACCCTCGCTGTGGAGCTGAACAAACATTCTCTGCCTGAAGCGTGCTCCTTCGAGAAGTCTGCACAGACAGCCAAGGCTGGATCCTGATCTCAAGCCACCGCACCAGTGACATCGCTGAGCTGGCTTTGCCGTATGCTAGGCTGAGGCCAGGACCAGGCTCTTGTTCTCTACACAGACCCCGGGCTTACAAAGGGCGCTCCTGTTGTACGTATGGGACACCCATTTTGCATGCAGGCACCGTGTGAAACATACACGAGGGGAGCAGAGCACCATGTCATCTGCACGTGCCAGAATTAAAAACAAAAAGGAAATCCTGCAAGTTCATTTACTTTGGCAACTTCTTTGTGTTTGCAGGACACAGGGACAGAAATTCTGCCTTGTTTGTGCATTTTAGCCATGGAGCCAAGTTTCCCTCAAAGTCTGTGGGACCTGAGCCACGTGGCGGGACAAGGAAGAGGAACGCAAATAACTTCTGTCTCCGTTTGCGGGGATGCGCTCAGCAGCTGCTCCTGCCCCATCTCCCCTCCCCCTTTCCCAGCAGAGAACTCCCTGGAAGTGCCAAGGCATTACTGCAGCAGGAGCAGAGAGCGGGCGCAAGCGGTGAAGGAAGGGACCTGACGATAGAAATCCAAGGGAAAATACTCCGGCAGCATGGAGCCGTTGACCCCATTCGCACTGACGTTCCCAGCCCGAGATGGAACGGACATGCCCTCCCCGGCAGGAGGTGGAAGCAAAGGGCTAAAGTCTCGGACCCTTTTGTGTCCAGATCTTAGCCAGTGATGCTGGCAGATTCCTGCCGTTTGTGGTTACCTTGCCTATGTATCATGCCTCCATGGAGGATCCTGGCCACCATGCAGCTCTGCTTCTCATTCAGCTTCAGCGTGATTCCCTGGAAAAAAGGAAAATCAGTGACTGACTAGGACATCTCTCGGGCGAGGCCCTCTCTCCTCCAGGTGACTCCTCCCTGGCCGGCCTGTGGCAGAGTCCTCTCCTGGCTCAGTCCCAGCCGGGTTCATTTCCTCTCGGCAGAATAAATCGACAGCTGATGCAGCTTCCTCCTGTGCCCATTACAGCCTGTGCCGCTCGCTCCCGCAGGGTCCTCGCGGGGCAGGCAGAGGCCAAGCAGCACCGAGGGGAAGACATGGGTCTAGCTGACGTCTGCAAAACCGAAGTTCAAGTCCCCCTCCACAGAGCTGGGCTGGTCAGTCGCTCCCCCGGGACACGCCCCGACCCCCGGGAGCCGTTAGGGTTGCCCAGCGCTTGCCAGCTCACCATCGGTCCCCGCGTGC